CCTCCAGTTGGGGTAAGCTTGTTATTCTACCCATATGTGTGATGCACGGAGGCCACGACGAAGAAAAGCAGGTTGCTTACCTGTAACTGATGTTCTTCGAGTGGCCATCTGTGCAGTCACACAATCCACCCTCCGACCCCTCTTGGTGTCATGAGTGGTTCGATTATTTTTATTTAGATATTATAATCTCTCCTATGTGTCGTACCGCTACTTCTTTAAACTTCTTGTACTAATGTGCAATGTCATAGGGAGCCAAATATCAGTCTTTCAAAGACTGGAAAATGGCGGTCACTCTGCTCCTTAGATACTGCTAGGGGGGAGGGGGAGCAGAGTCCCCGCTGAAAAGGAAACCGTTAGCTATCAATCTTCCGGCCAAAGGTACTGCGCAGGCGCAGAACCCATATGTGTGACTGCACAGATGGCCACTCGAAGAACATCAGTTACAGGTAAGCAACCTGCTTTTTCCTACACACACTCCACTGCAAAGACCTGAAACCATCCTCTATCAAAGTCTATTTGGCAGTGATCCATGGGATGTTTGAAGCTTTTTCCATTTTCTTCCATCCTCTGTCCTGTTGGTTCCTCAAAGGTTTACACAACCTTGTCCCTCACATCCATTCCATTGTACCAGGATGGAGCCTGTCAGTGGTTGTGAAGTGGTCCCAAAACCCTCATTCAAAGCCTTGACCATCATGGATCTACATCTTCTCTCCTGGAAGGTGGCATTTTTGGTAGTGATTACTTCGGCCAGAAGAGCAAGCAAACTGTGCTTTATACATTGATCCACCATTCTTTAGTTTTCATAAGGACAAAGTAGTTCTCCATTCTGATCAATTGTTCCTGCCAAAGTTTGCACCACAATTCTACCAAAATCAGGACATTGTACTACCAGCATTCTTCCCAACACAGTCAGCTGCAATGGAATTAGTGTTTCATACCTTCAGTGTGTGAAGAGCACTGGCATTCTGTAGTCCCAAACCTGGTCTTTCTCTTGATCACAAAGACTCTTTCTAGCATACAGTGAAAGGCAACCCCTTCACTACCCGGTGACTTGTCCACTGGCTTGTTGAGATGATAAAACTGCTGGACTGCCAACTGACCAACTGTTCTTTGGTATACTCTGACTAGTGTGTGCTCCTACTACAACAAAGGAGATCTGATCTGTAAATTCCACTTCACCACAACTGTTGCAGCCCTTCTGTCTAGTAGGGAGGGGTCCAGCAGACAAGTGTCTTGTAAAAGGCGGTACAGCTCCCATCAGCCATTGCTGGTAAAAGTGACTGTGCAAGTTTAGGCATCAACATGGTGGTAGTTGGGTTTATTAATGCCCTCTTCAGCTTTCAAGGCTCTTGTAGAGAGTAGATAAAATTTTATTTAGAACCTGTTTCCTTGCTCCAGACTGAAGGGAAGCTGATTGGGCTTCCATTTATTTTCCTTCAGTCTGGAGCCTCAACTAACTTAAGTGGCCCTTTTTGACTCACATGTTGTGTGACTTTTAGTGCAGAATGTGTTTGTACACAGCTCACCCAGTCTTAACAGTTACATTCATTTTGCATTTTAGATGAAGTCTTTAACCAGTTCTAGAATCTGAAGTGGTAACTATATTGTGACCAAGGTTAGGAATATGAACTATATATTTTTTTGCTAAGCCACATTCTTGCTGCAAAAGACATATGGCAACTCCTGCTATGAAGTTTGAATTCACTTTTGCAGTTCAAGATACTCTAAATGGGAATTGTTTTGGCAACTGACTGCAGTATAAGCTCTAATTTCTCTGTATCATTTACCATCATTTCTTCATATTTTTTTTACCTTTCAAGATTATTGCTGTAATGGTGTGAATATTGATATCACTGTGCTTGAATTAGAGTAGAGAATTACTTGCTGTCAAACAGTATTTTTGAAAAAAAAATGTCCTAGCTCTGTTACCAGGTTTTAAAAAACAAAAACACTCCTTTTTTCGAACTCTGCATTCTGTACTTAATTTGTTCTGATTCACTGGATCAGGTAATGAAAAACAGACTTCTCTGCTAAGTGATAATAATTATACTTGGTACATCTCTTTTGGTAACTGGGGTGAGATGGTTAGGGGAGCAAGAATGGTATTACTTGAATTATCAGTGATACAGAGGCTTCTGCAATGGAGTTCTTCATACACATTTAAATCCCCCTCCTCTGAAACTAATTTTGTCTGAAAGTGCCACTGTATTACAAGATTGTTTCATATATTACACTTTCTACATTGAAAGATTTTTATCTGTGTGTAGGAGATGTGTGAGCTTGAACATACTTCCTACTGTAGGCTCACTTGTCAAACACCCATTTTATAGATCAGCTTCCTGACCTAATTGAACTGTTCCTGACTTACTAGATATTCAATACATTATTTTGAGTAGGAAAAGATATAAATTACCTAATCAAACTGGGCTGTCAAGCTACTCATAACCTTTCCAAGGGTTGAGGAGTGAATGTGATAGTCTTCCACCAGAGATGGATGAAACCAGATGGCTTTCTGAAATCTTTTGAGGAGTTTCCTGCAGGCTTAGCCAGAGGACTTGGCCAAAGCCCCGATTTCACTTGGAATGAGGGATTGCTTGGGCTATTGATATGATTGCTCCCAAATGTCCTTGACCAAGTTGTAGAGCTGTATCAGCTCCTTGGTATTCTGAGCAATGAAACGATAAGCTCAACAATTAGAACACAAATGGATGAAAGAATCATAATGAATTTGACTGAGCACAGGTAAGAATCTAATGATGATGGTAGCAAAGACTCATTCTCTGTTAAGATTGCATCTGTTAAGTGTGGGTAAGCAGAGCTTTCTCAGATGGTGAAAGGCCTTTTTGAGCTAAACTGTAGTGTGCAAGAGTTATAATCTTTGAAAGTCTTTTGTGACCATTTACTATATATTCTTCAGATAATGATGATAATTTTGATAGTACAACTTCGGACAAAATTTGATATAGATGGAACTAGAATTCCATTAATAATGTTGTTATAGATACTTTTCAGCACGTTCAGAAAAACTGGAGGTTTGAGGTGTGCCATATGTTTACTTAATACTTGGCCAACCTGGCTATTGAAATCTGCCAAAGCTGTTGGTGATACAGATTGCTGATAATGGTGAATGCCTCTTTGAAGGATGGTGTGATCCCTGCTGCATTGAAAGATGTAGAGATGAGCTCATTAGTAAAGAAAACAAATGTTGATCCAGTGTTTTGCAAACATTATTGCTCAGTGTCTTTCTTCCAGTATTAAGCAAGGTGTTAGAGTATGTATGGAGAGGACTACCACTTAACAACTAGCATAAAGAATCCTTGCTGTGATCTGGGATTTCAGGGTTTTAGTTGAATACACAGGTAAAGATAAAAGTTTTGTGTTAGTTATGAATCATGAACAGAGACCAAAATAAATTAATTCATGATTTCATACAGAACAAAGCATAATTAATTAATATGGAATACTTGATCTGAAGCTGGCTAGCTTTATCTATTTCCAAGAACAAAAGGCCCATTTCATATGATATGAATACCACATGAAAGGCTTCTGTTAGTTCAGCTTGGCGCATGTGAACGATTCAACAGCTACTGTATGTCATGGTAAGGACATGTGGCCTTCATGATGATGTTGCATCTGGAGCGCTGCAATGTTCCTCTTCCCTGACTAAAGACATTTATTAAATCAAAAATTTATCACTGGTACAAATCTTTGTTTTTGCAGATATTGAAGACTTGCCGCAAACAGTCCAAGAGAAACTATTTGATGAAGTACTTGATAGGGATGTTCAAAAAGGTAAATATCTTACATCATTTATGTAGGTTGTTAATACAAATGAACCATTGATTGCCTTTGAAAAGTCATTTCAGGATGGTCTTTTGTCCAAGACTGGTATAGCAGTTTTGGTATAGAAGTATTAAAGTTGGGGAAGAACTCAGTATAAATATGCATGCATGCGTGCGTGCGCGCGCGCGCGCGCTCTCTCTCTCTCTCTCTCTCTCTCTCTCTCTCTCTCTGTGTGTGTGTGTGTGTGTGTGTGTGTGTGTGCATTTACAAAGAATGAATAAAATCTATCCTGGATGCAACTTCTACATAGGTGGTACTATACCCTCTGAACATTGTGCAAATGTTTGAGAATTTTAGATCCCTCCCTGTGTTTTGAAACTGCTGGGAGTTCATTTGCCTATATATTTCAGCACTTTAGTCTTGTTAACTACTGGAAGGCTATTGTATGTTATAAAATCCATTTACATCTTTTGGTGATATTAGTCAAAACCCTAAAGTCACAAGTAAGAAAAGAACATATCATGATAGTGATATATGTTAAGAACCCACATGTTTTATTCAAAACATGGAAAACTAACTATTCTCCTAGGAAGTTTAAAGGCATAATGTCTGGAACATGTCGCTGGATAAGCCTATTGCAAGTACTGTTGTGAATGGAAAGGCAACAAAAAAGAAACTACTAGTCAGAACTGGACCCTCTTTGTGCAGCATTGGAATTGGATCAGACCTATATAATTAGACTTGAAAGTGCCTTGCCTGTGATTTAGAAATGAATAGAAAAATTATTTAATTTTGTGGATTTGAATGAATGGATAGATATATTTGGTTTAAAAAAATATTTCATTCTCAATCAAAAATGTTAAATGGTAGTATCTGTTTTTCTAGTATGTAAGAAATAATTAATTTGTGGCTGACCCAGTTCTGTGTAGTCAAAATAGAAATCTGTGTAGTTCATTTTCTTTTAAAATGACAGGGCCATATATGTAATATTACTTATCAATAGGGCTAAGTTAATGGATTCCTGGGCTGACACAGGTCTACTGATTTTACCCAGAGAGGTGTGTCTAGAGCCAGCGCTTTTTTCATTTCGGTGCCAGACCAAAACCTTTTTATTTTCCCATTATTTTAAATGTTAGCACTGTTTTTAAGATTGATTTTGTATATTATTCTTGATGCAGTATCTTTCTTGTTTGTTTGTTTAATCACCGCCCTGAGACACTGTGAAGAACGGGATACAAAAGCTTTAAATAAATAAAAATAAAATAATTTTATTAATTTCAAGGACTAGGAGTCAGTGCAGGTGTTAGAAAAGAACTGGGTAGGCTGACAAATAGTGGCAAGAGAAAAAAATGGAGGCAAGAATATATGCATTTCTGGAACTGTACAGAATTGGACATTATTCCATGTTGCAATATTGCAATTGAAATTGTACTGAAGAACCTTGATAATGTATATACAATATGATGAATTTTGAAAGGAGTAATTAATCTGTGATTGGAATATTTATTTACTTGTTAGACAATTATAATAACAAAAATATTCTCATGAGCATATCATATAATAAATTTACATTTAATGTATTGCTCATAATTAAATTTAATGTTTCCCTTGCTTCTCAGCTCCTTAGTATTTCCTTGGCTTTTAAGTAAACTGTCCTTCAACTTTTTGGCTCTGATAGTTTGAAAGGAACTATAACACTGGCACTTTACAGTGTCATCCTAGGCACACTTACATGGAAGTAAATCTCTCCCTGTATAGTAGACTCTGTTGAATAGGCCTTCCTTGCTAATGAGGCTTAACAGAAAGGTTTTTAGGATTGCATTAAAAATGTAGGCTTCTTCTGCAGTACTCTATCCCAGTTGAGCTATGTTTGTGTGAACTTGCCTGAATTGTGTGGTTACATTTTGAATTATTACAAGAAATTCACTCATGAAAAATTGCCATGTCCTTTTGAATTCTAGAATATCAGATGCCATTATTTTATGTATATTTTATGTTATGCATCATTGCCACACCCATAGCAAGGAAGGCTCTTTGGGCAGCTTACAATAAATGATAAAACACCAATTAAAAGTAAAAATGAATTTTAATTGATAAAATTCAATTAAAACAGTAAGACAATAATGGAAATAAAAACTATGGTAGGCATGTCATGAGTGCAGCCGGGGGTCAGACTAGATGCCCAGGAGGCCCCTTCTGACTCACTCTGTTTCTGTGTTGCTATCATATAAAATTGTAAACAATCAAATCAAGATTTAAATAATAAAACAATATTAAAAGGAAGTTTTTTTAATAAATACAGTCTGGATCCATCAGCCTCCAGGGGTGGGCCATTTTAATAGGTCCTCTACCCTGGAGAAGGAAATGGCAACCCACTCCAGTATCTTTGCTATGAAAACCCCATGGACAGTATCAAAAGGCAAAAAGATATGACACCGGAAGATGAGCCCCTCAGGTTGGAAGGTGTCCAATATGCTACTGGGGAAGAGCAGAGGGCTAGTACTAGTAGCACCGGAAAGAATGAAGCGACTGCGTCAAAGCCAAAAGGACACTCAGTTGCTGATGTATCTGGTGGTGAAAGGAGAGTCCGATGCTGCAAAGATCTATACTCCATAGGAACCTGGAATGTAAGATCTATGAATCAAGGCAAGCTGGATGTGGTCAAACAAGAGATGACAAGACTGAACATCGACATCTTAGGAATCAGTGAACTAAAATGGACAGGAATGGGTAAATTTAATTCAGATGACTATCAGGTATACTACTGCAGGCAAGAATCCCTCAGAAGAAATGGAGTAGCCTTCATAGTCAATAAAAGAGTAGGAAAAGCAGTACTGGGATACAATCTCCAAAATGACAGAATGATCTCAGTTCGAATCCAAGGCAAACCATTCATCATCACAGTAGTCCAAGTCTATGCCACTGGTGCTAAAAAGGCTGAAGTTGACCAGTTCTATGAAGGCCTACAACACCTTCTAGAATTAACTCCAAAAAATGATGTCCTTATCATCATGGGGGATTGGAATGCTAAAGTAGGAAGCCAAAAGATAACCGGAATAACAGGCAAATTTACAAAATGAAGCAGGGCACAGGCTGGTAGAATTCTGTCAAGAGAATACGATGGTCATAGCAAACACTCTTTTCCAACAACCCAAGAGAGGACTCTACACATGGACATCACCAGACGGTCAACACAGAAATCAGATTGACTATGTGCTCTGCAGCCAAAGATGGAGAAGCTCTATACAGTCAGTAAAAACTAGACCAGCAGCTGACTGTGGCTCAGATCATGAGCTTCTGGTTGCAAAATTTAGGCTTAAATTGAAGAAAGTAGGGAAAAGCACTAGGCCACTCAGGTATGACCCAAATCATATCCCTGATGAATATACAGTAGAGGTGACAAATAGATTTAAGGAATTAGATCTGATAGACAGAGTGCTTGAAGACCTATGGACGGAGGTTCGCAACATTGTACAAGAGGTAGCACCTAAAACTATCCCAAAGAAAAAGAAATGCAAGAAAGCAAAATGGCTGTCTGAGGAAGCTTTACAAATAGCTGAGGAAAGAAGGGAAGTGAAAGGCAAGGGAGAAAGAGAAAGAGACAAACAATTGAATGCAGAATTCCAGAGAATCGCTAGAAGAGATGAGAATGCCTTCTTAAATGAACAGTGCAAAGAAACAGAAGAAAATAATAGAATACGGAGGACCAGAGATCTCTTCAAGAAAATTGGAGATATGAAGGGAACATTTCATGCAAAGATGGGGCATAATAAAGGACCAAAATGGCAGGGACCTAACAGAGGCAGAAGAGATTAAGAAGAGATGGCAAGATTACACAGAAGAACTATACAAGAAAGAGCTGAATGTCCCTGATAACCACGATGGGGTAGTCACTGACCTTGAGCCAGACATCCTGGAATGTGAAGTCAAATGGGCCTTAGGAAGTCTGAGCAACAACAAAGCTAGTGGAGGCGACAGTATTCCAGCTGAGCTATTCAAAATCCTAAAAGATGATGCAGTAAATGTGCTACACTCAATATGCCAGCAAATTTGTAAAACTCAACAGTGGCCACAGGATTGGAAAAGGTCAGTTTACATTCTGATCCCAAAGGACAATGCCAAAGAATGTTCAAACTACCGCACCATTGCACTCATTTCACATGCTAGCAAAGTGATGCTCAAAATCCTACAAGCTAGGCTCCAGCAGTATGTGGACCGAGAACTACCTGAAGTACAGGCAGGGTTTTGAAGAGGCAGAGGAACTAGAGATCAAATTGCCAACATATGCTGGATCATGGAGAAAGCTAGGGAGTTCCAGAAAAACATTTACTTCTGCTTCATTGACTATGCTAAAGCCTTGATTGTGTGGATCACAACAAATTGTGGCATGTTCTTAAAGAGATGGGAATACCAGACCATCTTACATGTCTCTTGAGAAACCTATATGCGGGTCAAGAAGCAACAGTGAGAACTGGACACGGAATCACTGATTGGTTCAAAATTGAGAGAGGAGTTCGGCAAGGCTGTATACTGTCGCCCTGTCTATTTAACTTATATGCAGAGCACATCATGAGAAAGGTAGGGCTAGATGAATCACCAGTTGGAATTAAGATTGCTGGGAGAAATATCAACAACCTCAGAGATGCAGATGATATCACTCTCATGGCAGAAAGTGAAGAGGAACTAAAGAGCCTCTTGATGTGGGTGAAGGAGGAGAGCGCAAAAGTTGGTTTAAAACTCAACATTAAGAAAACTAAGATCATGGCATCCGGCGCTCTCACTTCCTGGCAAATATATGGGTAAGAAATGGAGGTAGTGACAGATTTTATTTTCCTGGGCTCCAAGATCAGTGCAGATGGGGACTGCAGCCAAGAAATTCAAAGACGCTTGCTCCTGGGGAGGAAAGCTATGGCAAATCTAGACAGCATACTAAAAAGCAGAGACATCACCCTGCCAACAAAAGTGCATATAGTCAAGGCTATGGTTTTCCCAGTTGCAATGTATGGCTGTGAAAGCTGGACCATAAGGGAGGCTGAGTGCAAAATGATTGAGGCCTTTGAATTGTGGTGCTGGAGGAGACTCCTGCGAGTCCCTTGGTCCGCAAGACGAGCAAACCGGTCAGTCCTAGAGGAGATCAACCCTGACTGCTCTTTAGAAGGCCAGATACTGAAGATGAAACTCAAATACTTTGGCCACCTAATGAGAAGGAAGGACTCTCTGGAGAAGACTCTAATGCTGGGAACAATAGATGGCAAAAGAAGAAGGTGACAGCAGAGGATGAGGTGGCTAGATGGAGTCACTGAGGCAGTTGGTGTGAGCTTAGGTGGACTCTGGGGGATGGTGGAGGACAGGAAGGCCTGGAGGAGTGTTGTCTATGGGGTTGCGATGGGTCGGACACGACTTTGCGACTAACGACAACAACAACAACCCTTGTACAGGGGAAAAGGTGTCAAAACTCAAGGTGAAGTGATCTGACCATGACAAAGGGGTAATTATTAGCCCCCCAGTTTTCAGATTACCATCTTCCTGCTCAGTCGAGGAAAAAAAGTCTTGTATTCTAGTACTTCGAAATGTAAAGGAATGTAACAAATTATAATTTTTCTGTAGATGTAAGATGATTAACCTTGTAATGTTAATATTTTCTAGAACTAGAAGAAGAATCTCCCATTATAAACTGGTCTCTGGAACTGGGTACGCGTTTAGACAGTAGACTTTATGCACTTTGGAATAGGACTGCAGGAGATTGCCTGCTTGATTCAGTACTACAAGCTACATGGGGCATTTATGACAAAGATTCGGTGCTACGTAAAGCTCTACATGACAGTTTACATGATTGTTCTCATTGGTAAGCAGAAATGTTTTTGAAACAATTCCTGTGGTAAAGCCTATAATTCACATATAAACATTTGTATTCCCATTTTTTGGATCAAATATATCCATAGCTTGTTGAGCAATATCCTCTTGAAATATGTCATTGTTTCTGTTAGAGTTCTTGATAGTCTATTTTTATTCCTGAATAGGTGAAGGAATTTGTAATTTTGCACAGAGGATTTTGGAGTTTGTATACAATGGGTCCAGTCACACATCAAAACAAAAAACCCTCATGGTTACCACGATTCATGGTTTTAACTGTGATTTACCTGACAAGTGATTAAGTGTTTTCTGCTTTATTGTGGTTTCCAGCCACCTGTTGTTATCACTTACCCCATCAGCAACCATGACTTTAATTTGGTCCCAAGGCATTTCACTCCTGGCTACATCATCTTCTGCTTCCTGATTAGTCTGCATAGTTTCCTGGGCATGTTCTCTGCCGTGCCATGCCGTGCCATGCTTTTAACATTCCTCAGCCAAAGCTGCCTTTTAATTAATGAATCTTCCCATAAAAACAATCTTTTTCCACTGCCGTTCCTTTGTACAGCAAAGCATCTTTACTCATACCCCTGCCTAACATCTCCACACTTCTTTTGCTGAAGTTCTGTTGAGGCTGGACTTTGTGCAGGAGGTGTGAGCACACAGTTTGGATTTTCTCCTCATGTATGTATTTTCTCAGAGAGCATGTACATGGGCTTGCTCTGCCCTCTGTCTCCCAGTGTTTTCTTGTTTCCTGCACCACCACCCAGTGAAGCATTTCCCTTGCCTTTTTGTCAGTCCACCTGACACCCCTTCTTCAATACCCTTTACACGCCATCATCCTGCACACTCCTTCTACCTCCCTCCCATGTTCCTGTTCCAGGATGCTTCGTGCAGTATTCATTCTCTGAACTCCACCCATGCTGTTTTACATTTCCCTCCTCTCTACCTTTTTCAGCTTGGCCTCAGGCACAACAAATGCCCTGGCTTCTCATGATCTTCCCTCGTTCCTTTCTTCTCTTGTTGATACTACATTTTAAACATTATGTTGCATTTATAATTCACTTTTTCCCCTTGTAAGGAATTCAAGACAGTGTATATAGATCTCCTCCACTTTTAATCCTGATATCAACAACCCTGTGAGGTAGGTCAGACTGAAAATGAGTGGCAGGTTCAAAGTCACCTAGTTAGCTTCATGGCCTAGTACAGATTAGAATCCATATTTCACATATCTTAACCCTCTAACCACCATAACTGCACTGGCTCTCACCTTTTTCACACTCCCTCATGCTAGTCTTCATTTTGTTCTTCTCCATCAACTTAATTTCCTTTATCCTCCACTGCCCACAATCGTACATCCCAGTTCCTCCTATTCTCTCCCATTCATGTGTTAGCCCATTTTGAGGGGATGAGCATGAAGGCCATACCTCATGGGTCCTCAAACTATGGCCCGGGGGATGGATTCAGCCCACCATGGCCATCCATCCAGCCTGCGTTGCTGTTCACCACCCACACACGCGCTTGCTGGAATTGAAAGGCTCAATAACTTAGACTGGCATCTGTGAAAACCATAGCAAACTTATAGTAGTACAGAGGGCAGCCAACTTTAAGGCTGCTCATTGTTCAAGGATAGGCTAGACATGCACATGGTACGCATATCATGAGCAGAGCTGGGGGTTCAGATTGATGGCTCAGGAGGTCCCTTCTGACTCGCTCTGTTTCTATGTTCTGTTTGGGCAGCACTGCATACTTCTTGGCAGCTAGAAAACAACAGGTGGACATCTGGAGAATTGAGAAGGTGGAGGGGGATGGGAACAGAGAACAACTTGTAGGAGTGAGGCAAGTAATGATATGCCTGCTGCTAGGCTGGGAAGGGTTAGGGTTAGGGTTAGGGTTGGTGATGCTCCTGGAGTGGTCACTTTTTCAAAGGGACTTGGTGGTATTTGAATACCAGGACTGCTGAAACCATGATGCTGGGTTTGGACATCCTAAAACAGCATAATGGGATGTAGAAACCATACAACAAACTGTTTCTATTTGTGATATCTAAATGTTGAAATACCGTTACTAGTTTTGGACAGCAAACAGTGGTAAAAAAACCCCTACACTGGCTTATTGCATCATGTGAATCTAGTCACTATCTGGATTCTGTATATAATATAAAGGCCATATTATACTGCTACAGCAATTTTGAAAGATACTTTCCTTATGCAGTTTAAATAAATGATAAATGAAATTATAATGACTGTCATTGATTTGTTGTTCTTGCAGAAGTCTGAGTTCTGAAATAGATCCACAAACCTGTATATCTCAAAATCAAAACAGTAATCTAACTAGAAACTATGCAATACTTTAATTCAGGGAACTAAGATCTTTATTATCGTGGGATTTCACACTACAACTTAGCTTTCAGTCCTGGGATTTATGGTGACTCCTTATATAGTAGAGACAAAAGCAATCCCCTAAAAATCAGTGCACCAAGGGAACAACAGAACTGGAGTGCAGTTGCTGGAATTCCCTTATGGGGGAAACCTGACTTGACAATTATTTGGAGAGATATTGTTGGGTGTTTAGTATTTGAGGCTCAGACCTCATGTCTCATTTGTCATCTTCCTCATTGTGACTCACATGTGTCTGTGCAGCATAGTAATTTGGAGCATTCACCCTCCACCTAGCAATGTGGGAGGAATCTGGTCTGGGGGTGATAACCCATTGGATTTGCTTGGCTTGTCTCTCTAGAACCTGCCCTGCTTTCTCTCTGCCCTAAGTCTGCTTCTTGCTGGTATCTGGCAGAAAGTAAGCTTGCCCACACGGCATCCATGTGCTTGCTGTGCAAGTGGAGTTCTGTTTGCACACACGACTTCCAGGCTTCATGTACTATGAATTTTTTGCTCAAAGAATTATCAATTTTGTGTAATTTGCACAAAGAATTTGTAGCATTCCTGAGTGTTTGATGTCAGTTGAACTTGCTTCCTGGTTAGGGTCAAGCACAGGAAAGAAATCCAGCAAGTACAAGGGAACAGGATTCCAGCATGAACTTTGCATCCCTGCCTCCCAGCTCCTTTTTCTGGCCTTTAGTAACTAGCAGTACTTCCTGTAGCCTTATGGCAAAATAGTTCAAAATTAGGCTATCTTCTCCTGGGATGCTGAACAGAATTCTCTTTTCATTTCCTCTTCTGTTCTGTTCCTGTTATCCCTGAGTGCCACTTCATTAATTGCTCTTTCAGAGCTTATGGACTCTGAATCCTTCTTCAAATTACTATTGCTTTGCCAGGAACATATTGTTCTTCATCGTGGCCTCTGTGCATCACACATATGGGTTCTGCGCCTGCACAGTGTCTTTGGCCAGAAGATTGATAGCTAACGGTTTGGCGGGAAAACTCCGCTCCCCTCCCACCTAGCAGTATATATGGAGTGGAGTGTCCGCCATTTTCCAGTCTTTGCAACCGCCGTTCATTGTGCCTCTTGCCGCTTCGCTTTCGCTTAGATCGTTACTCGTATTCTCTTGCTTTGACTTCTTTTTCTCTTTTCCAAGTTAGTATTTCCTCATTTATATTGCTCTTCACTGTTCCAGTTAGTCTCTTTGTTTTTTCTCTTTCTTCTTGTTCCTATTAAAAAAAACAAGCCAAAAATATTATCTGTTCCCGCTATACTATCCTCCCTTTTTTCTATTTTTCCGTGATGGCGCAACGAGCGGAGTTCTGCAAGTGCGGAGAGTGTGGCTCTAAAATGCCTGCTACGGACCCGCACAACCTGTGCCTCCTCTGTTTAGGGGAAGGTCACAGGACGGTCAAATGAGACCATTGCCTGGCCTTCTCTAAGCAGGCCAGGAAGAATAGGGAGAACCGTCTATGTAAGCTCCTGTGGGACCAGGCTCTCCTACAATCGGACCGACTGGTGGCTAAGCCTGCTACAACCTCAGTTGCACCTGACCGCCGTCTGTCTTCAGCCGATCCGCCGCAACATCCAGCCCCTTCCTCTGCTGCTCCACCCTCATTCCCTTCAGGCGAAGGTGCTCCCACCATGGGCAATCAGCCTGTTTCCCTGCCCAAGAAACAGCGGGAAAAGAGGAAACACAGCGGCCTGATAAGCCATCTGTGCATAAAAAGGCCAAAAGAGATAAGGCTGAAAAACCGGCCAAAAGACTGAAGAAACCCGAGAATACGAAACATTGACACTCGGGTTTGGCGGCTTCCTCGGTCCCGACCGCAGGCGCAGTACCGATGCCTTCGGGCCTGACCATTCAGGTGGCAATGAGAGTTACTCCTCCAGCCTCTCCACGCCATACGGAATCTGAACTGCACCACGATCCACCTCGCAGCTCGATTTCCGACGGTGAAATTCAAGACTCCCCACCGAGGGCCCAGTCCCCGACGCCTATGCCACCCGTTTTGCTCGATACCGAGACTGGAATGTCCCCACCGAGAAGCCGTACAAGTTGATCTTCCTACGCCCGTTCTGACAACTGGTACCATTCCCGGTATTCTTCTGCGCCAAAATGGCCTGACTACCCATCCGTCGGATACTACCCGGCTGCTAGAGGTCGAACCCCTCCACCAGCTCCTCGGGATCGTCCCCACTCTACAGCCTGGAGAGACGCCGGTCAGGCACCGTCTAGGGAGAGCGGTAGATCAGAGTCACCAGGGGATTCCTCCTCCAGCATCCCGGCTCCATATTGGGTGGACTCGGATGAGTCCGAGATCGATTCAACTTCGCCTGATGCTGCAGTCACCTCGTAAGGTCCTGCATCACCAGAGGAGCCGCACATCTCGTTTGCTAAACTGATGTCCAGGCTGGTGAAGTCATTGGAAATCAAGGTCAATCAACAGCCTGGTCCCAGCACTGATCGTTTCTACGATGTAGTGCGGGGCAAGCAATCGACCTTCATCGCTTTACCACTCATCACAACTCTCCAACAAGCGATGACCCAACCATGGGACCTCCCGGCTCACCCTCAAACGACTTTGAGAAGATATGAAGCCATGTACCGGGTTC